GTTTAGCATGCTTACTTGTGCTAATGTACAAAACCAAGAGTAGTTGAGCATAAAGCAAATATCATTAACTTAAAACTTAAAACTAAATACCTTAAATGTACTGGACAAATTAAAATTTTTACCTGATGGTGGTGCTAGTGGAAAAGTCAGTGATCCATCAAAGTCATCTCTGGGAAGGATGAGTGTCTGTATCAAATGTTGTGCCAATCCAACCTGTAGAGGTTGAGATATTTGGCCACCGTAACTACCTGTAATATCCCACAGATGTCAAGATATTTCACAAAAAACAAAAATGCTGAACTGCTGGTGGTAAAAAGGAAGTCAGGGGATCACCAAAGTCAGTAGGCTGACCGAGCACCATCGTGGCTAAAAATGATGAAGTCAGTTTTTCTATGTAACTGTGACAATGAACTCTAAAAGGTATCCGGATATATAAAATAACAGAGCCAAAGGAAATAATGGAATGCTGATTGTGGCACTTCCTGCATATCCAATATCTTCCCCTATTACACATCTATCATGCATTATTTCTGCATTATTCATCATCATTTCTGTAATGAAACCTTTAGTAAGAGGATTTTACCATGGTGTTACTTGCTAGTAATGTAATGTAGTCCCACCTCAGCTCCACCCAGTTTCCCTCCTTTTGGGGGTGGGGGGAACTCCATGAATTGACCTACACACAGTAAACGTGAAATACAGGATTCAGATATTTAATCGATCAAGTTCAACAAGTCTACATATTTTCACCAAAACCACTAAACTCAATCTACAGCTGGTCAGTCGTGTCACATCGATTCATCAAACCTGCCGTCAGAACAGTTTTAAGTCTAACCTCAGGGCAAATAAAGTGAGGAGAAACTTCCCCTCACTTCATGTCTGACTGTTCAGCCAGGCACTTCAGATAAAAGCATCCAGTGAAAGGCAAGTGTGTGTGTGTGTGTGTGTGTGTGTGTGTGTGTGTGTGTCGGTAAATGTTTGTGCAGTGTTGCTCACGTGAGAGACATACTGTAATGTGTTGTGTAAATTAACACCCATGTGCTTCATGGGTGGGACGCCTCCTCCCCATCCAGCAGGCATTTGTTAGTGCAGCACGATGACACAACCAGATCATACAGACACACACACACACACACACACACACACACACACTTGGGAAGAGTGCGTCCAGAGAGGAGTGCCGGCAGAAATGAATGACTTTGTCAGCTGTATGCTGTTAACCAGGCCATTTGACATTGATCCCTGCCTGACCCAGAACATATCTCCATCTCTCCCCTCCCTCTCTCTGTCACTCAATACAGAGACATAGACATATAGTATAAATCCAGAAACAGAGATCAGTAGTATCAGGATATAATCTTTAAACATAATATGTAAAATAATATTTAAAAAAAAACAATCAAAAATGTCAATGAATTAATAAGATATATTTTGAAATAATAGTCTCTGTATAAACGTTTTCTGGGTCTCGGTTTTTAAGTTGTTTTGTAGTTGCTAGGGCATCATTGGGTGCTTGCTAGGTAGTTGCTTTGTGTTCAGTGTGTCTGCTTCATAGCTCAGTAAGGTAGCCCTCACCAAACCAGAATAAGAATCTACTGTGAGACTGTTCTTAGGTGCAGTGGTTTAGAGCTAAATGCTAACATCAGCATGCTAACATGTTCACAATGAGTTAACATGCTGATACAAGGCACAGGTATAATGTTTACTATGTTCGCCATTGTAGTTGAGGGCGTTTGCATGCATTTGGTCATTAGAAGCAAAGAAAAAGTACAGTTGAGGGCAATTATAATTTTAATCTGATGCTGGCGCTAAATCAGATTTATTACAGTTCATCCTGACATGAATGTCAATGTAATAAACTTAATGGCAACCTATCCTATATAACAATAGGCCTACACTGTAACAGTTTTGAGACAGGTGATCACCAAAGTCGTCAGAGACATGTTCTGGGAACCATGAAATTCTGTGCCAATCCATCTAGTAGATCCATCTTTAACCTGCAGGTGGCACTAGAGGAAACGTCACAGGATTATCAAAGTCAGTAGGATTCATTTGCATGAATGTCTGTACAAAATGTAAAGGCAACTCATCCAGTAGTTGTTGATATATTGAAAAAAAAAGACTGAGTTAAGAAAGAAATAGTAGAACAACAGACCTACAGACAGAGATTGCCATCCATAAATTGATGCCACTAGCAATTCTAAAAAGAAATAACTAGAAATAAACGTTTTCTGCCTGAACCGCACAACTTGCTCGGATGAGGAGTTTGGTCGGGCATGACTAGATGATTGCTAGGGCATCATTGGGGGAATTTTCAATGTTACATTATCACTGAGAAGCAAGTGTGAATGAAGTGTAAATAAAAGCCACCATAGGCTAGCTGTGATGATCCTACCAAACCTCATTTAGAGAAAGTATTATAGTTTAAATGTTTTTGTAATACTCTAATTAACATGTCCAGGCCGATAACAGTAAGGTTTCTGTCTGGCTTTCATTGCAGTGTTTTGTTGTTGCTTATTTGTTTTTTTTAAATTGGTCATGTTAATGATATATACATGGTCTCATAACCTTTGTCAACTTTACAAATTGGCGAGGGTCACTGAATGTTCCATTAAACAACAGCTCAACACGGAATGGATTGTGGACACTGAGGGCTGTAAAGGACATACAAGTTGTGTCTTCCTAAGGACAAAATATGGCTGCATTTGGAAGAGCATTTGAAATGAGACATTTTCATTGTGGGAAACTGCCTTTGTATCTGAGCTGTCTTTGTTACCCATCAAATCAAACAAACATACAAATAAATAAAGTCACATGAATGCTGGTTTATAACTTTTTGTACTTTTTGTTACTTATTTGTGAATTACCATGTGGGTGTTTTGTTTTTTGTAAAAAAAAAGTTACATACAAGAACACTCTTTAGCCCTTGCAAGATAAAAAAATTTAAAACACTTGAAAGTACTTTTGATTTCTATTAGATAATCACATTTTCTTTGTCTTTATTACCCCTCAGCATGTCTCTATCAGCAGTTTGTTTCATCTCAGATATTTTCCTCAACAGGAAACAGAACTCCCCCCACCCCCATTAGGGACCAGTGTCCGGTTACTTTAATGTGTGTGTGTGTGTGTGTGTGTGTGTGTGTGTGTGTGTGTGTGTGTGTGTGTGTGTGTGCGCATTTGTATGCCTACACTGGTGTGTCTTGCTATCGTCCGGATGGTTGCAAGTTGCTGAGTAAGGGCACAGACCAAAAGAGACAAAAGCACATACACAAACAGGCACATGCATGAGCTTCCACTCACTCACTCTCTCTGTCTCTCTGTGTCTCTCACACACTCACTCACACACACACACACACACACACACACACACACACACACACACACACACACACACACACACACACACACACACACACACACACAAAGGAAGAGGTTCATATTACAGTCATGCAGCATATTGTCAGTGATGTCACTTGTCCTTATGGAACGAATGAATGAATGAATATCTCCTCCCTCCCCCTTTTCTCTTTTGGCATAACCATGGCTACAGTCTTGCCAAAACAATGTTTAAAAGCATAGTAATTCAGAATTTTACAAAAACCAACAACAAATGGTTTGCAGTTTTCACATTACAACTGTTCCACGACTCAGTTATGAGACAGGAGTTGATGGTACAAATACAATAAACTCAACTGAATAAAGTGATGCTGTGTTTGAAATCACTGCCTTGTTCACTCATTCTATTGCCTACAACACTGAAATAGTTAACTTGGTGGTGAACAGTAAAATAAGGTTTCGGTCATAAAAATCATCAACACTGAATCACGTTCGCTGAAAGGTGTCATGTCCAGGCCACAGTCAGAATTACAGGTCATGTCAGCAGGTCATTACACTGGCTTTAAAATAATATATTCTTTTAAATTCTCCTCAATGAGTCTTTGTATTCTGACTATTTGAGCTTTTAGGTCCAATAAAAATGAAAATGAAAATGAAAATAAAGAGCTGTAGCAGTGAATCAGCAGGAGTCTGCAGGAAGTCAGTAAAGACCAACTTTCATTTACGGCCATTTTCAGTTCAATTCACTTAAAAAATATTTCCTGCTGAATTATCCAAATTTTTACTACTTTTTTCTTTCCTACACTAATCTGATCAAGTCTTTTTTTTGTACAGTTACCTTTTTTTGTAATCTCATTATGTAACTCAGTCACATGTAATCCGTTACTCCCAAACCATTGTGCGAAAATATAGTGCACTAAGTAGATACATTGATTCAACTTGTTTTAACTTATTGACCAGTTAGTGACTACAGCTTTCTATCTGGCAGTTAGCCAGTTAATTTGGCGGACTATTGTGCCTAGCTAGCAGTAGCATGCTATCAGCCAGCTTGCCATTCATATTCTCAAATAGCCACCTTCTATTTTTGTTATTATTATTTTGTAGACATATTGCCACTTTCTGGTCAGACCAGGCACTGATCAGAAAGAGAACAAAGTAAAAACTATAAAGCTTGATCCAATTAAAGTGAATATAATTAGGAACTGTGAACCATTTCTTCCAATATAATCCAGAGCATCACAATGAATCAACACTTCTCTGATACAATGTCAAATGACAAAACTATTAAAAATCTTTCTGTGTAAAGGCTTTTAACTGGATTCCATTATATGGTACCAGTGTTACCAGTGCAAACTCTGGTCAAGCTTCAAATAAAACAAACTGGTTTGAGTTGAAAGTAAAAGAAATTGACAGTATCACGTTTAAGTCATCCATTAAAACAATGACACCTAAAAAGGATCAACGATTGGCTTCTGCCCCGTCATGTTCATAAAGCAGAACTGAATTGAATTGAATTCAGTGATGGGAGAGGGAGGGGGTAGAGACAGAGGAGTGAGCGAGAGAGGAGGGGAGGAGGAGGGGTGACTGGAGTGTGTGCCTGTATGCCTGTGTGTGTGTGTGTGTGTGAGAGAGAGACAGGGAGAGAGAGAGGGAGAGAGAGAGAGAGAGAGTGCATCCAGATCTCAGTCATTCATCTCTTGGGGAGAGGAGAGGAAACTACAGCAGGACGGGAAAAGAAACAGTTTTTGAGCGAAAAAAAAGGATGATTTTTTTTTAAACTTCTGCATTCAATCTCTGACTTTAAAAGCCTCCTCCAGCTGCAGTTTTCCTTTTCATTATCATCAACAACACCCCAAATCCTCTGCAAGCTGCTGCAAGTATTTCACATCGCTCCTTCGACTGTGGGGTGGAGATACTTCCACTTCTTCTCCTCCTGCAACTGAGGACACTTTTCTCTCTCTTTCTTGAAACCGCATAAAAGCTGCATGTTTTTATAAGCATCTCTTGCAACTTGAATGTCTTTACAACTTGGACAGAGAGAGTGAAGCCCTTCGATGCAGTGTGCGTAAAAGGGACTGGTTGGTTTTTTTAGGGAGGTGTAGGAGGAGGTGACTTCAGGAGGACGCACCGGGATCAGACCGCTCCTGGAAGAGCTCCGGGAAGAGGAGGAGGAGGGCGCGTCACCCTGAGGAGAAGAGCATCCTCCCAGCCTTCTCACTCCATACAAACACACACCCTTAAGACAACGCAGACACAGTAATCTCAGAAAATTACCATAGAGGTACATCATATAAGTATTTTAGCAAACTAACACTCCTGAAGTAACATAAAGTAAGATTAAAACCTTACATAAAAAAAAAAAATCACAAAAGTACATATAATCACTTTGTTCCACAGTCATACTACAACTCATTAAAGGGATATTGTAGGGATATTATACGAATATCATAGTTTATTTGTCAGCGGAACACGCACACGGACACCCAGGACGCCCAGCACGCCGCCTCAGAATGGATCTCCCTCCAATCAGAGGTAAGCATAAATTCATCCTGTCGCCATCCGATCTGCTGATGAACTATTGATGATTTGCGTGACCTTGGAATGAAAAAGTTCCATTGGGAATTTTTGATGAAATAACAAATTATTCAAGAGTTGTGCAGCTTTGCAAACAGCCTTTGCATCTTGGAACAGGATTTAATTTCAAGATTTTTACTTTAAGGCAGCTATTGTAGAGAGAGATACAGATTTCCCTGCAGAATGGGAATGTGTTAGCAGCGATGCACGACATGAACTATGGCTCTCAAAGTTCTTAAAGGCATATTAAAAGAAAACTTACAGGGGTTTATTTGGAAACCTGACAGAGATGGATATTTTTTTTTCAGTTCTAGTTCAGTTTTTTGGCTTTCTTTATCAGTCAGGTTTACTTAAGAAAATGTGCAACTATCCATCTCACAAATAAGCAGACATTTCTTGTGAGATCAAGCCAAGATCTACTTTTATGTCTAAACACAAGATCTGGTCTAACATGAACCAGAAAACTATTTTGCTAAACTGTTTTCACTTGGTTTTACCTGCTCGGTCTGTGATCCCTTGTTGGTTTCACCTCCCGAAGTCGTCTGCAGCCACATGGGAGAGAAGAAGACAGAATTGTTTCACGCCTTAACACAAGTAATTAAAATCAACTGCAGTAAGGTGCCTCCTAAATATCTTGTCACCCTTTTATTGGTATTCAACTATGCAGCTGGTGACTTGTTTAAACAGATCAAATCCTACTTAGATTTATTTGGTCCATGCCCCGTTTTCCATCCCTCGTCTTGGCCACTGGGTGAGGAAAGAGCGGAGAAAGGATGGTTTTTGTTTCATTTTTTATCATGTTTAAATTCAACCAATGTCTCCGCTTCATAAATACAAATTACTTTTCATCTTTTTACTGTACTGCATGTGTACTACAGTAAATATTACTGTACGACAGTTAAATATTGCAATGTGTGCGTGGGCCCGTGGACGGTGAAGTGATGGATGTCTGTCTGCAAGCATGTAGACTGTAACCTCCTTCGCCCCTGGTGGACAGATTGGTCCAAGTTATTGTTTTATTAGCAGTGAAGGTGAATTAGTCATCTTGACAGTAACATGTCATTTATCTTTTACCAACTTTTGGTGACTTCAAACTGACTCTTTTGAATCAGTGGGATGCGTGAGAGAGAGCATTTCTGAACGATCCTCACAAATGAAACAGAGTGAAATATTCATATTAACTGATTGTTAGGCTGCATGTTAGCATTAGTCTCAGTGTGTTTCAGCAGATTGTGTGTGTGTGTGTGCATGTGTGCGTAACCGTGATGGGGACATGTGGGGTATGGGATTGATTGTCCTCAAGGTCGGATGCAGAATGTCAATACCCATCTCCGCTGGGGTGGGACTGGAGGGGCGGGTGGATGAGCAAATGATGGGATGGACTGATGGGGGGGAGGGAGAAAGAGAGAGAAAGAAAGTGAATGGGATGAGATGAGCGGTTAGGCGGAGCGATTGACCAGGGATGGATGGATGGACGGTAGGGAGGGGACAGCATATGTGGAGTGGAGGAATATGGCGGATAGATGAATGAATGATGAAATGGATGGATGGTAAGAGGGACGGAGAGAGGGAGGGGATGAATAGTGATGGAGGGGATTTTTATGCCACAGCAGAGGAACTAATGCACTGACTAATGCACTGTCGAACCACAAACTTGTAGAAAGAGACAATATTCACAGTAAAAAAAAAGCTTTGTAAAAAAGAAAAGAAGCATGGAAGAAAAAGATTGGTAATTTTTTTTGGAAGTAATAATGCTTGACATTTTCGGAAATACAGGTCAGACAGTAATTACAGTTCATAGAAGCTTTAGCATTTGCGCTTACACAAACACTCTGTCTTGTCAACCGTTGCTGCTGCACAGAAAGTAAAGAAAATGTTACTGAAATTTTTAAATTAGAAAACAATATCCGACAGAATATGTCAAAGTTCTGCAATTAGCGCTTAGAAACAGAAAAGCACAAAAACCCGTTTGCTAATATCTTAAGGTGTAGTTCCTCAAAAGGCCAAAAGTCAAAAAAAAAAAAAAACCCAAAAAAAAAAAAAAAAAATTTTAAGAAAAAAAAAAAAAAAAAAAAAAAAAAAAAATTTTTTGAAAAAAAAAAAAAAAAAAAAAAATAAAAAAAAAAAAAAAAAAATTAAAAAAAAAAAAAAAATTTTTTTTAAAAAAAAAAAAAAAAAAAAAAATTTATTTTATAAAAAAAACAAAAAAAAAAAAAAAAAAAAAAAAAAAAAAAAAAAAAAAATAAAAAAAAAAAAAATATAAAAAAAAAAAAAAAAAAAAAAAAAAAAATAAAAAAAAAAAAAAAAAAAAAAAATAGAAGTTTTTTTATTAAAAAAAAAAAAAAAAAAAAAAAAAAAAAAACCCCAACCCCCCCCCCCCCCCCACACCCCCCCAAAACCCCCCAAAAAAAAAAAAAAAAAAAAAAAAAAAAAAAAAAAAAATAGAATACTAGAAATTATGAAAATACAGAGACACTTGTTGTCAGCAGCAGCCAGTAGTTACTCATTCATGGAAAGTAAAGTGAACAAAATGAGCCTATAGGTTAAATGACACTTGACAAAATCAAGCTCAACTGAAGTTTCAGGGACTTCCATCAAAAAACTGCTGCCAAACTCTGACTTTGCACCTTGGTCGTCCAAAAACTCCTGAAATGACAGTTGATGATTTTAGTCTGCACAAAAAGTGAGAGAAATATATTTTCCAGCATGAAAGAACCTCTTTAGGTGCTTCAAGGATTCAGTCGACTTAACTCCACCTGTAACACCAAAGCACTGTGGCAGCGCTGTGTTAGCAGAACTGTGGGAAACACTGCTTTGTAAATGATCAGGGCACCCGCCTCCACTTCGTTGGTGCCTGTTTGACTTCTACTACCTGCTTGTCACTTGTAATTTCATTTTTACCAAAATATCATAAATCCCTCATCATTGCACACGGAACAAATTCAGTAAGAACGAACTTTGTTGAAAAATACAACACAGATTCAGTTACAGTAGTAGCCTTACTGATTTCTTTTCCAACTTCATGTAAATTTTTACTTTAGTGAAGATAAGATGATAGATGAAGATAAAACCAGCCCGTCCTCACCAGAATAATGTCCGTATAGGTCATTTGTGAGGGCAGCTTTTCATGACCCATAGTTAAGTTTATTGTAAGACATTTAGTGGCCAGGTGACCTGATTTAGTCAGGTGACGTGGAGGAGGCCAGGGTGGATGAATGGGCTAAACATACCCAGACATTTACTCAAGAGGCATGTCTTGTGTAAGACCAAAAGTCACCACTGACTTATTACATGAAGTGCTTATCATATGTCATATAATTAAGATAACTTAAGTTATGTAATGTAATTATGTATGTGTTATCTTTTCCTAAACCTAACCAACTATTTTTGGTGCCTAAACCTAAACAAACTGCGATCGCTTCACAACATTAAGCACACGGCGATCACCAATGGTCATATGTCATTTTGGGAGTCATTGGCAATCAACCTGTGGAGTCGTTTAAGGTATGTGGATGTGTTGGATAAAGCTGAAACCTGTGGTTGAGGTAAGGGTAAAGAACTGTACTACAGGGGAACGGTTACCAGAACCCCAGAACCAACCTTGCTTCAGCTGTTTAGTTACACACTGAATCGTGGCATAGTGCAAAAATATTTCGCTGCAAATAATCTTCATTAACTCCGACAGTATAGAAGAATTTGCATTTCAGTGTCAAGTTTTCAGTTGCCCTTTGCTGTGAGCACATACATGTTTGGTCCATCGTGAGAAATTAAGGTCTTATTGTTTTTGATTTAGCCTAATAGGTCAAGTGGATTGTTGACAATCTGGTTTTATTCAATCTGTGTAAATGTGTTGTGAAATTATATCCAAAAACGACTCCTACTTCCTCCCTCTCTCTCTCTCTCTCTCTCTCTCTCTCTCTCTCACACACACACACACACACACACACACACACACACACACACAGCTTTTCTTAACCATAGCTTGTTTTGACTTTCTTATCTCTCTCTCCACATCTGGCTCCACGACTTTCATTTTTATCGTTATTAGTATCACCATCCCTCACTCATTCACTGCCTCTTTCCTTCCTCTTTCCCTCCCTCCCCCCTTGTTCTCCCCCGCCTCTCCCCCCCTGCCTGGACTTGCTGGTCTGCAGTGTCTATTTCAGTCTTTCCGTTGGGGTCAGATTCGGCACATCCGGTATCTCATCCAGTTTATTGTCATTCAATCCTGCTGTGCTCCCTGAGGGCATCAGGAGGAAGGCCCCTGGGTCTTAGTGCCTGACAAGTCACACACACACAGTCATACACCCAAAAAAGCTGGCAGCATTGTAGTCAAATGTTTTGACCTTATGAAAAACTGCTGCTTTAAATGTGCAAAAATACAGTTATACATAACTTCTCTTTTTCTTTGATTTGATTTCATTGACTATTTTACACTTTTTCTCCTTTTACATTCACATACTGGGCTGGTTTACTACATGTCACTAATGCTCATCAAATATGATGCATTACTAAATTAAAACTACCAAAAAGTTGTTCAAATCAAAATACTGTTTACATGTTGATGGATTATTAAAGGGTTATATATATGAAATTCACTTGCCACTAGAAGTCACACTACAGCACCAGCATCACAGACCAAAATAACGGGCCCTACAGCTGACCACGCTCCATTGACAAAAACAGTAGCAGATAATCGGAAAACACACTTCAAACTGGGCAGAAACAAATGTTTTGAACCAAAACCGTCTCTGTTCATCTTTCCACTGTTCCAACAATCACCAACTTTGGTTTGGTCAAAAAACCCAAAACATTAATAGAGTTAGATAAGAAAATATCTACAAAACTGCCATGTAACATTAGATAATCCTTGGGGACAAATGCCCCCATCAAAGTACGTCCAAAGAACATTTTTCCCTACAAAGACAGAACTTCTGTTTAACCAGAAACAAACATAT